CTGAGGAGGACGTTGCAAATTGAGCAATCTCCTACCCATCATATCCCACACGTGCTCAATTGGGGATAAGTCGGGAGATCTTGGTGGCCATGGTAACAGTGTAACATCATTATGTTGAAAGAAGTCTATTGTGACCCTTGCAACATGTGGTCGGGCATTATCTTGTTGGAAAGTTGGATCTGCCAGGGTGTCAAGATAGGGTAAAAGATGGGGTTCTAGAACTTCGTGGATATAACGCTGCGCGTTCATGTTACCTCTGATGAAGATTAAAGGTGACCTGGAACCATAAGCTATAGCACCCCAATCCATAACTACAACAGTGTGATGAACATGTCTTTCAACAAAAAACTGTGGATTCCTCCTTTCACCACGTCGCCTTCTAACCCTGGCACGACCATCGTGCATGCCTAAACAAAATCGAGACTCGTCACTAAAGACAATACTGTTCATTTCCTGATCCCAGTATGACCGTTGTCTGCACCACTCAAGGCGATTACGTCGGTGTTCTCGAGTTAAAGGGAGGACCCAGTGTGGCCGGTATGAAAACAAGCCAAAACTTCTCATTCGTCGGTAAACACTTCGCATGCCAATAGGTCTTCCGTGTTCTGCAAACCATTCATTTGCAATGGACCTGGTAGTGGAGAAACGGTCCCTTAAGGCCAACAATCTTAGGCGATGATCTTCACGGTCTGTTGTTCTACGGCGGCGTCCAGTGCCCCTTGCTCTTTGCGTACGGCCTTCTCGAAGCCATGCCTGACAACACCTAACCACAGTGTCTACACTTCTTTGCACTCTAACTGCAATTGCCCGAAAAGAAAGTCCAGCTTCCCGAAGTCCCACTATACGGCCCCTATCAAACTCACTAAGTTGACGAAATCGTACAGGTCTCCGTACTCTAGGCATCGTAACTGATCGTAAAGGATGTCAAGAACCAAAATCCGCCAACGTTGATTCTTTACTGCGGCTGAAATATTCATTTTTAGAGCGTTAGTGAATTAAAAAAAAGGAGTATAAAAACCGGAATGTCCAACTGATAAGGCTGAAAACTTTTTCACTTGTTATTTACAGTAAGATAAATACATTCACCAACTTTTATTAAAATAAAACCATTTAAACTGGGTGTTCGGATTTATATGTCACTTAGTATAAGATAAACAGTTTTTGACTATATTAATTATATCCACTTTTTAGAACATGAACCACCATTTAGTTCAATGTGGTCCAGTATATGACCGAGTTGATAGAGGTTCGATTTCCTCATGAACATTAATTACTCAGGTAATTCTAACAAGTAATAGAATAGAAAATGTAAGTTAAATCTACAACTACTGCAGGAAGTCATGAAATGTACACAACTGGGACAATGCAGGCATGAACCAACTGCTGAGGACTCTGCAAAAATCCAAAAGAAACGCAAAAGTAGTTTATACTTTTTTCAAGGAGAGTAAGATATTCATAAGGATATACCAAGTCAGCAAACTGATGCTATGCCATCATTACATATCGAGGAAATGGGAAATTCCAGAAACTATATTTTATTTTTATTTTGCTGTTTGACTGGTATGATGCATTCGATGTTTCACAATAATATGATATGGTGGTGGGTCGTTTTCGTAATTTTGGGTGAATGTATTAGTTTTGATGTGATTGGTGCTTTTGATGAATTACGTTACATTGATGACGGACAATAAACCAGAAACGTTTCAATATTATTTCTTACAGGTAAATTTACAGCTTCAGGAAAGGACTACGCAACCTGTCTCATTTCCCACCCACTCAAAAATATAATCTTGATAAGTGAACAACAGCTCTGAATACATTCCCCATATCCATTATTGCCAACGTTACAAATTAACACAAAGATGTCGTCTTTGTGATCATCTGTTCACCCCAAGCGTGATATAAGGTTTAATTCTTTGTTCAGATAGAATAGTTTGGAACTAATTCTGAACTAGTTTGGAAGTGCTTTCTAGAACAATCCGTATAAAACGTTTGCAACAAGATATATTACATTCGATGAATAATAGATTCTTGTTGATGTCCCCCAAAATGTGAATGGCTCATAATGTTATCTTCTTTCGGAAAATGTACTATAGCCAAGCTTTAAAATGGATATAGATAGCATCACCGTAGTCACAGTGAAATTTGTGTAAACGTCGATGCACTGCAGTGACAGCTAAATCACTGGTGCGATCCCTATGGAACCAAATCATACACCCTGTGTGACTTGTTCTCAACGGTAGAAGTAGGATTTCGTTCTAAAACCGACTACGTAACGTTATAACTTATGCCACAGATTTGATGTTAGGGCTTCAGAAGACAAGTTTTGCCATTTCACAGTCATACAAAGGAGGAAACAGTGAATATACAGGGTGTTTCAGTTTATTGTTGCATAACTTTAGGATTCGATAGAACTTTTAAAATTAATGCATAAAGTCTATATAAACATGGGTCGAAAAAAGCGTGGCTTCCGAAATACAGGGTGTTTAAATTTACTTTTTAAAATAGTTTTTTTAAATATTTCGAACAATATTTGATGTGTAACAGTATACAAGAGGTTTTTGATAGGACAAAACGAACCATGTGCATAGTTTTACTGTATCCGCTAGATGACGCTCTCTACTGTACCTGTAATGTATTAAAATGACAGAACATTTTTTTTGGTGCAATTTTTTGTTTTTTGAATAAAAAAACTGATTCCTTGCACTTTTCTGCATAAAAAAGCTCTCTTGTGAGTTTTCGTTATAGTTAGCCGTTTTTGAGATATTTCGATTTTTAAGGTTCGATACATTTTTAATTATTTATGGGAAAATAATTTTTTTCTTTACATTTTCGATTTGGGCATTACAAGTAATTAAGATGATCGTTTAGATTGTGTTTTTAAACACAGCAATAATTCCTAACTCCAAATAAACACAAAAAAACAGAATATTAATTTGTTTAATTTTCCAATATTATTTTTAACGAATTAAATTAATTATTCACAACTAAAATGCTATTGGATAGTTAGGACAAACATACAAAATCTAAAGTAGTTGCTCGAAATGTAAACCCAATTGTTCGATACACAATTCACATCTACGAATGATCGAACGTGGTATAGCATTATTCAAATAATGCCTTATTACATCACATGCATTCCTGATTCTGTCTATTAGCATATCTCTTGTGGTTATGGGAATCTGGTACACTTTTTCTTTTAGAAATCCCCACACAAAGAAATCTAATTGATTTAGGTCAGGGGATCGTGGAGGCCGGGCGACTGGTCCTCCACGGCCGATCCATCTTTCTGGATAATTTTCGTCCAGCCAGTTTCTAACTATTCTCGAATAATGAGCTGGACAACCATCAAGCTGGAACCAGCCCAATCTTCTTAAATCTAACATAACATCATTCCACATATTTGCATGTTCAGTCTTTAAAAATTCCAAGAAGGTCGCAGCATTTAACCTTGCAGGCAAAAGGTAGGGTCCAAATAGTCGATTACGGTAGATACCAATCCACACGTTCACACTAAATTCATGCTGAAAATTTCTTTCCCGAACTGCATGCGGATTTTCATGCGACCAAATATGTTGATTATGAAAATTTACCACTCCACGTGTAGTGAAGCCTGACTCATCGGTCCATAAAACGTTACTTAAAAACTCCCTATTATTATCAGTTCTATCAAGAATCCACTGACAAAATGTGATTCTTCGTTCGCCGTCCCCTGGCTGTAGTCCTTGCACAGATTGCAAATGGTAAGGACGTCTATGGTCATTTCTAAGAACACGGTGAACATGGCTTGCTGAAATTCCCAAGGCACCAGAAACTCTCCTAACACTTGTGGTCGGATCTCTATCAAACTTATGCAGAATCATATGGGTAAACCTGCGCTAACGAAAATTTATGTTTTGATCCCTTTGGAGATTTCCAAAACCATTTTCAATTATTTGGCGATGCACTCTTACAGATACTGAGCGAGTTGGATGTCGTCTATTTGGAAATCTTCGTGCGTATTCTCTGGCTGCTTCTGCTGCGTTTCCATTTACAAAGTCATACACAAAATAAATATCAGCTAACTCTTGATTGGAGAATAAAAATGGCATTTTTATAAAACTTACAAAAAAAAACAGGTAAAAGAAACTGAATTTCGTGCATCCACAATTGCAAAAAACGGTTCAGGTTTCAACAGACAACAAAACTAACTGTCAACTAATTGACGCTTAACCTTATTCTGCTTTCAATTTCAAAAATATTTGCAGGCACAGCCTACTTCCAAAAATTATCGAGATACTGACTTTTTAACGTTATTTTATCATAAATAATTAAAAATGCATCGAACCTTAAAAATCGAAATACGAAATACCAAAAACGGCTAACTATAACGAAAATTCACAAGAGAGCTTTTTATGTTGAAAAGTGCGAAGAATCAGTTTTTTTATTCAAAAAGGAAAAAATTGCACTAAGAAAAAAAAATTCGGTCATTTTAATACACTACAGGTACAGTAGAGAGCGTCCTCTAGCGGCTACAGTAAAACTATGCCCATGGTTCGTTTTGTCCTACCAAAAAACCCTTGTATACCAATTTTCACTGATATACATCAAATGTTGTTCGAAACATCCTGTATTTCGGAAGCCACGCATTTTTCGACCCATGTTTATATAGACTTTATGCATTAATTTTAAAAGTTCTATCGAATCTTAAAGTTATGCAAGAATAAACTGAAACACCCTGTATATTAATATTCAGTCGAAGTAAGAAATTTGAAAAACATAAAGCGGCACTAACTAGTCCTGGCGCGTGTTCAGATATTTTTCCAATTTCTAATATCTTGCCTTAATATGTCTAATTATAAACGCCCCTCTTGACTTTATCAACAAGAATAAACTCTCGAAGACATTCAAACAGCATTAAATGATATGGCATTTGTTGGTCTAGGACAGTCTTAAGCAACAAATAGATATTTGCAATACGGATATCTATTTTGTACATCCCAACAAAATGTAAGACTTACTTTCTGTGAAACTGTAGGTGGCCTTGAACCCCCTGGAGTATCTGGAGGCAAGCTGGCTCTGGAACTCCAACATCAATCGGGGTCCATTCGACATCACTGGCTTAGGTAGCACCGCACCACAAAACGACTCGATCTTTTCCATGCGGCCATCGATGTGGACAAATGCGTCAAGGGAGTCTGCATTTTCACAGCTGCAACAGCGATTTCCAACAAAATAACGGGAAGTAAACAAATTGATGTGTGGATCGCGTTCAGATTTTAACTTAAGTTGTTCTTTGCTAAGGCAAATGAATCACTTTCTATTAATAGTGTAACCGAAAATTTTTGATGTTTAGAAACACCCCAAGATTCGGCAGACAGTATCAGAGGAAAGGGAGAAATATCATTTTGATGTAGGTACAAAGTATAGATTCTAAAAAAAACTGAGTGTCTCAGTGGTATCTGGCGACTATTTCAATTTATAAATAAGAAGTGTGAGAAGTAAAAGTACAAAGAACTTTAAATAGAATATTGGTATCAAAGTGAATAATTCTTGCATGTTAAATGGACTGAAGATAGCAGCAACCATCATGAAATAATCTCTCATAACTACAGTTATCCGAGGCGACTAACTTAAACACCATAGTAAACGATTTGCTGAAACTACTATATACTAAGGCTTATTTCTTAAAGGAAAAGTTATATAACAAAACGCCCATTTTATCTTCGAGACATGGGAATATTAAATTGAAGATACGGACCAACATAAATATCTGGGATGGCAGAGCTGACTTATCCGATTCAAATTAGATACAGAAAACATAAAACTGACGGCGTCTCCTCACGAATACCTTATATAGCATTGATACCCGTTACGTGGGATATATAAAAGGACATATTAGTTTAGGATTTTTGAAGCACTTTCCAGTGTTATCGGTTGCTCTCTTTTTACCCAAATGCTTTGAAAAGATCATATTACTCGATAAGCTGCATGGGGGGGGCTCATATCTGTTTTTTCGACAATAAAGGATTGAACTGAAGCGCACTTTGTCTTAAATTCGGTGCAATCGAAGCTTGAAGTGACCTAGTTCATGCCAAGTTGAATTACCGGAGAGTTTTGGCTGAAGGACCAGTAGCTTTCAAAATTTAGCCAATCCGTGAAAAGAAATAACTAGAATCTTCATCCATTTTCATTTTTTGCTTCTCAAATCATATATGGGCGTAAAAAAATTGTGGAGGCCACGAATTTTAAGAATTTTAAGCGATGCAAGCAAAACACATGTTTTTGGTCGCAGTTTTGTTCTCGTCACTTTTTTCAATGGTTTTTGTGCTAGACAAAATAATTCCCTCTTTATTTTTTGAATACGCAGTAAGACAATTTTTGTGAGTCAAACATTTTGAAATAGGTGTTTATCGTGTTTCACTTTTGGCTGACTATGCTCAAGATTTATAACAGTGCTTGGGTGGTACTGGGTCACTCTATTTGCCACTCAATTTTTTTAATTGTAGTACAAATTTGATTAGGAAAATGGCAATGACAGGTGTGATATCAGGGTAAATTGCTTCGTATCTTTGTTCAACAGTTGTGGCATTAGTGCAATGCCTATGTTATGCCTAAAATATGTATCTCACAGACAGAAACTAATAGGTGAATTGCAGAAAGTTTCCTGCATTTTCACTCGTTATACTGTCCTTTATGTTTGCATTAGTTGAACGGTGTGTAATAAAGATACTACGCAAAACTGTTTTTTTATCAATATTTTGGATAAATGAAACCGCTAGTTAGAAAGGTTTCTTGGAAGTTTTCAGGTAACCACATTTTCTTGCATCAAATTAATGGACTATATTGGTACGAATACCTCGCTATCCTTTAACCTATTAGCAGTTCTGTTCAGGTATTCCAACTAATGATAGAATATTCTGTTATTTCTAATATATATATCAACATTTGTGTGAGATACTGCGATATCGTTATAGGTGATCAAAGCTACATTGAGAATCAATATTACTGCATTCATGACTAGTAAAGTAGGATGCATCCAATTATCGCAGACTAAAACTGAATCCCGGCCATGTAATTAATCCAGACATGTAGCCTTTGGCACTGATACCGTGCTAGTAATCCTGCGGATACAACGTATGCAGCTAACTATACAAAGTACAGGGTGAAATTCCTGTCGTTTGATATCAGACAAGGAATGATGCCAAAAGATGACCATTTTTGGGTTGTTTGGGCTATCTCGTAGCTTCAAATGTGTGCCAATGTTTCAAGACTGCAAGTTGAGCCTGCGTTTGGTCTTTGATTACAGTTATTCATGTCGATACTTTTAGTCCCGTATCGTCAGTCGTTCCTACAACTGTAGGGCGCGTTTATGGCCTACTTGATTTAGATAATATTACGTCTTCTTCGTTAACGTACATGTATCTCATGCTTTAGATTTCTGGCGTAGTGACAGTTCTGGCTTGAAGTTATGTTGTTGTTTTGACGTTCAAGACGAATGGAAAGCAGAACCATAATTTATTATTTTCTTGCAAATAATGTCGATCACTCAAACATACTTCGCTACATTGAACAAATTCTACAACCTGTGGTACCTTCAAGAAATTGTTGGGTTAAGAAAATTAATGCACATGTATATATTATTTTATAATATTATATTTGTATGTATAAAAGTCCAGAAGCTTACAACCAAGCTGTTCTCTTGACGAAGGTTGGTAAGTTACAAAATTAATCATTGTGTATTCATATTTATATACTTATCGCATTATTTTGTTCCTCAGTAAAATGCTATTTTTACTTTGGAATGATAAGGAGGAGAATATTATCTTTCTAAGAAGGAATTTATGCATCCAGGCATAATTTATTTATTTATTTATTTATTTATATCCAGTTTGGGGTGTTAACAGGTAAACCCAACACACACCCTCAGTGAACTAAAACTAAACTTACATAAAATATCGTATACATATACATTGAATACTTTAATATTAATATTTTTTTTATCTTCCGATATTGTAACAACATAAACTGAGTGAGTAGTTCTAATTATAAGCCATAAACTATTAATTTAACCTTTTCAATAAAAGGAGTATACATAATTTAACATTTACTTACGTTTAATAAAAACTGAAATCAAAATTAAGTTGAAATTATACCAGAAATGATATTGGAGGTGATAACTTGAGTAATGTAAACAAAATAAAACATTTCTATTTTAATCTGCCATAGAGCTGTAATACTCATACTTTAAAGCCTTTTTCAGGAAGGTTAAGCTAATGTTATATAAATCTATATTACAGAAATTATTATGATTTTTTTGAGCAAAGGGTAATTAAGCCCAAGATTAGTTCTACGGAACGGTATTCTAAACAGATGATAGGTTCCAAACGTTCTATCAGGAGTTTGCCAAAAGATTCGGACAGTCAGTGAGGCCATTCAACAATTTCTGAACACAGCAAATATCAGAAATCGTTCTTCTATCTTTTAAGGAAATCATCTTGAACTGTTTCGTAATTTGCGTATAATGATGATCTGTAACAGGTTGGTGAGTTTTATTCTATATTACTGATGCAAACATCGATTTGCTGTGTATATAAGCGTAGTATAATGAAAGAAGCGTTTTTGGGTTCGTAAATTCTCTGCATGTCCTGTTTATGAAGCCTAATGTTCTATTTGCATCATTTACGATGTGCTCTACGTGAGTGATGAATGAGAGTTTCTCATCAATGTATACCCCTAGGTCGTTTACTACATGAAGCTTGTCCAGTTCCTCCGTCCCTATCATATATCTGAAATCGCTATGTTTCTAGTCAATATCATGTAATGACATTTTGTTAAATTCAGGAACATACTGTTTTCAGTGCAATACTTTTGCAGAGATTCCAAATCGCTTTGAAGTTTTACACCGTCATTTACATTTCTAACAATAGTAAATATCTTTAGATCATCAGCATATTACAAATATTTACTGAAATGAAAAACAGAAGTAAGGTTGTTCATGTATATGTTAAATAACAATGGTCCTAAGTGACTACCTTGTGGGACGCCTGAAGTTACTAAGAATGTCTCCGAACGATACCCGTTGATAGTCACCACTTGTTTACGATTACTTATATACGATGCTAGCCACTGCCATAATGGACCATCTACATCCACCTCAGCAAGTCTCTCCATCAAGATAGAATGATCTATCTTGTCGAAAGCCTTACCGAAGTCGGTATAAATAACATCCACCTGCTGTTTCTCATCTATTGCGTGAGAGGCATATTCTATAAAACTCATCAAATTCGTCTCTCATTTCGTCTTTTAGGGAAAAATCCATGCTGATGTTCCGTAATGATATTTTTTGTAATGTTTAAGATAGCGTCATAGATCAGCTTTTCAAAAGTTATTGAGAAAATACAAAGTTTAGTGATAGGTCGATAATTTTCCACAAGATGACTATCACCTCCTTTATGAATAGGCAATATTTCACCTTCTTTCCATCTCGTTGGAAAGACTCTTTGAGTTAATGATAGTTTGAAAATTAGGTGAAATGGTAAACATACGCTAGCGGAATAGTTTTTTATAAATACAGGAGGTATGCCGTCAGGGCCTACTGATTTTTTAATTTCTAAGGACAGTATTTGATGATATATTTTTTCAATGGATATTAAGGTAACATCAATAGGACTAGCATCCTTGTATAAATAAAAATGTTTAGATTTAACATATACACTTGCAAAGAAATCAGCAAAGGCATTACAGACCCCACTCCGGTTTTAACTTCATAGTTTGAATGATTTATAGAACTAGGTATATAGACATGCCATTTTTTCTTACTTGAAACGTATTTCCAAAAGTGTCGGCTGTCGTTCAATATATTGTTTTCCATCATTGTTATGTATTCATCCAGGTTTAAAGCGTTTGTATAGCCTATGATACTTATTTTTTCTCTTAACTGCTTCTTTTGTTTCAAGTTTAAAGTATATTGGGTATTTTCCACGAATTTTATATGTTGGTGTAAATTTGTGAATAGTTTCATTGAGTATGTTATAGAATATGGCTACAGCTTCATCTACAGATTTGGTACTAAATAGTTTTTCCCATTCTATGTCTAAAAGAGTATTATTTATGGAAGTATAGTCAGCTTTATTAAAATTGTAAAGGCATCGGCTTTGGTGCATTAATGGCTTAAGTAAAACATGCTTAAAACAAAATGTAATTGCAGGA